GAAATTGTAAACAAATACCTAGTGAAAACTACTGCTTTATGTGCATTTGTTTAAAAAAAAGTGATTTTCATCCAATACACTATTTAGCATTCCAGAAACGTGTTATGTATGAAAAAGGATGAATGAAGACAAGGAAAGGAACTAGTTTGGAAAAACTACTGTGTGTGTGTGTGTCTCTCTCTCTCTCTCTCCCTCTCTCTCTCTCTCTCTCACACACACACACACACACACACACACTTATGCAGCAGTCACACTAAGTATTTCTTAAGTGATTTTGTAAACAATGAAGTTTGGAAAAGGAAATGAAAGAAAGCAAAACTGGAAGATCTTTAGTTTCGAAGCTGAAGTCACCCAGGAGGAGGGTGGGAATTGGAATGAATGAATTCAGAAAGCCCACTGCCAGTAATAACTTGTGAAAACCAGAATTCCACTAGGTCTCAGGACTTTGATGGGTCAAGGAGAAGCTGTGTTTTCATGCAAATGAATTTTTTTTATATTCTCCATTACTACAAGTTCAGGCAGCCTTCCCAACCCATACATACATGCCTTTTCTTCTGACCCACCTAATTTGAGAAGTTTATTCTGCTTTATCCACTGCAATTTCTAATTACGTTGGTCTTACTCGTTACCGAATCTCAGATCAAAGTAGGTCCTATTTTTAGATGTGCTAAAGCTAAACCCTTGAAACCTACAGATGAAACATAGAGCATACTGAATATATTGCACAATTTAATATGACTCTTGGGCCTTTATAATTTTCCTTCCCAACCCCCATCTTAAGTAACTTCAGCTTCTACGTTAATGACCCCTTTGATTCTCCTACCTCAACTGCCAATCAAACCATGCCACTCCCTTGTTTCAATACTCACACCGGCTTCCTCTCATCTTTCCTCAAAAATTCAATCTTACTGTATCTTATTGCACCTGGGAAGCTATATACAAGTGTGCTCCTAATTAACCTCCCGTCTAATTTTTCCTACATTTTTCTTATCTCTTTTCACCTCACACCTTACTCTTTTTCCCTTATGTAGCCGTATCCCATTCATGTAGTCTTCTATGTCTATATCCTCATTGCACGAGGAGTAACAATTAATTCGAGGGAAGGGTTTTGGATCAGACTACCGCGTCTACACGCAGCAAGTTAAATCGGGCGACCGGCATTTTAAAATGGCGACCAGCTGCGAATATGCTAATCAAGTGCGGGATATTTAAATCCCGCACTTCATTAGCAACTTCAGTATGCTTCATTTGCCTCCCTAGTCCGAATTAGGGGGCAAGTGTAGACATACCCTAACATAGGCCACCTCCTCGACAAAGCAAACTCAGTGCAAAATATATATTGCACATACTATGTTCTGTTATCTTATATGAGCAAAAACAAGCACAATTTCTATACCTACGTTGAAAATTTACTTTCAATCAAAACACACAAAAAGTCTGAAGCACAATTTAATTAATGTCGATGTCCAAATACCATGCCACAAAATAAACTCTTCCTACTATGCAAAAGCTTTGGGTAAGGATTTTAAGATAAAGAAGTACAAGAGCTGTAAGAGAAATTTTATCCTGGAGGAAAGAATAGTGACGTAGAGCTAGTCCACACTACAGCACTGCATTTGCACCACTATAGTGCATCTGGAGTAGACACACTATGCTGACAGGAGAGCACTCTCACATCAGCATAATTAGTCTACCTCGGTGAGAAGTGGAAGCATCATCCATGGGAACGTATCAGCTGCCAACATAGTGCCAGCGTGAATAGCACATAACTTAAGTTGCTGGGGATGAAAGGGGCTTTTCCACACTTCGAAGGATGAGTCTACACAGCAACGTTATTTTGGAATAACGTCCATTATTCCAAAATAACAATGTAACTACATAGTAATTCCGTTAGTTTGAAATAAATTTGAAATAATGGACAGTTTATTCCGACTTCTGTAAACCTCATTCCACAAGGAATAATGCCTATTCCGAAATTGCAGATGCTTCACTGCAGATATTTTGAAATAGCTCCTCCCCAGAGCCATTCAAAGTAATTACTCCCCAGTACCTTCTGGGGCTCTAAATTAAGGTAGCCTGTCCACATTAGGGAAGTCCATCTTGGACTAATTTTGAGGCTTCCATGGTGTGTAGACGTGCGATTTCAAAATAAGCTATTTTAGATTATTTCTTCCAGAATAGCTTATTTCGAAATAAGCGTGCAGTGTAGATGTACCCTAAGTGATGTAATTTAGAGCAACTAAAGCAGTAATACAGATATGCCCTAACATTAATGTATGTAGAGGTCTTTGAAGATGAAAAATGCTATTTAAGAACAAAATATTGTTTTAGGATTTTGGAAGTGGAAAATTTTGTAGTTCAAAAGGAAATCCTGTACCTCAAGTCTTATGTCTAATGTGTCTAAGTTTTCCTAGCAGACAGACTGCTAGAGGAAATTAAGTTCACATACTGTCTCTAAAGCAGAAGCCACCATTTCCTCTTCATTGTGGGACTGGAGCTCAATAACCATTACACCGCTGTCAAATATACGAAGCCTAAAAATCAAAGGGAAAAGACAACAACAAAAAAATAATCTGCAAATATCAACAACAGAAAAAACTTGTGTATTTTTTTCTGTTAGTTTCACATATCTAAATAGATAACATGTCAACATAGAAATCCATTTTAAATAACTAAACGAAAAAAAATTGAAAGAGCAAAAGTGAACAACATAAAAGTCAAGTGCTGGATCTTCATAAATAAAAATAAGTGAACAAATGTAACAGTGATGCACCAAAGTGGCTTTATTTTCAAATCGTGAATATATACCTTTGGCAAAAAAAAAAATGCAGCAACTTAAATTCAGCTACATTTGTATGATTTAGTAATCACATAATTATTTTATTTCTTGAACAGAATTTGTGTATGTTTCACTAAAAACTAAATTATGTAGATGTGTATTTGTTAGTGTTAGCAATTGTACCTTATGCAAGATCCAGTGATACTATTTCAATGGTCCACAACTGTGGAAAGGAAGGATGATCCAGTGGGTAGGATGTAACCATGGGATATGAGTACACTGACCATGTTGTCCCAATTTGTCCAGGACTGTCCCGAATGTAAATGCTCTGTCCCAGTGCCCCATCAAGTAGCAAAAAGTCCCAGAAAGCCCTGCCTGACATTTCATTACTTGATGGGACACCAGTGCAGCAGCCACTTCCCCCTCCCCTCCAGCAGGGTGTGTAGGGCAGTGGGGTCAGCTTCCAGTGGTGCATAGCCCCTTGTTCCCTCCCTCCCCCCACGGGACCGCCTCTGCCGTGCAGGGTCCTGATCTGGAGGCCCCTCCTCCTTCTCCTTCAGGTTGCCTTGGAGTCCCAGCAGGAGCTGCGCAGAACCCAGCAGGACTTGAGTGAGGGTCCCTGTGGAGCTATTTTTAGTACTGCAGTACAGGTCTCCATGGGCGGCCCCGGCTCCAGCTGAAGTCAAGTGGCAGCCCCGTTCCAGCCAGGGCAGCCTCCCCAGACCAAGCCCGGTTCG